AAATCTCAATGACAGAACAAAATACGGCCTGTTTGACTTGTACTTCCACGTACTTGATCGACATGTTAAATTAATAAACAAAAAATTCTGTCCAACCGTTCACTTTCTTATCAATATAATATGTTAATTTAGAGGATTTCAAGTGCTAGTAGTGAAAAAAATAGTATATATACCACGGTAGAGAAGTCTATTATTGCCTTCGCACCTTACACCCCTCGGCGCAAGCGCCTCGAGATGTAATCTTGGTGCTCAGGCAATAATAGTGGACTTCTCTACCTTGATATATAATGTACTATTGTAAGATTAAAATAAATTGTCGTTAAAAGTGATTGTAATACTGAGGATCCTTCGATATTTCGTTGTATCGGTTTATTATTTAAGAAAATATGGCTGTCATATTTGCAAATAATAGGTGTTTTCAGATTAGGAATGGCATCAAACACCGGCGTACGCAAAGGGAGGGCTGAAGGGGCTACAGCCCCCCCCCCCCGAAATAATCGACTTAACTACTCAGCGGCACATCGTCAGTGAGTCATGGTATAATTATTTAAATGCCAAGCGACAATAAAAATGTTGCAGTTGCTGGAAAAACTACCTTACTTTTTCCTTCGCTTACTTGATCTTGCGAATGTGTACGACATACGTGAAAATTTACATACTTTGGTCTTAAATCTCGAGTTTCAGGCCCCCCCCCCCCCCCCGAAAAAAAATCCTGCGTACGCTGCTGGCATCAAATGAATGTCCATGCCAAAATGCAGCATTAAGTACTGGTCGAGATTCGTGCCGCCTATCAGTCAATGTCCCGCTCCCTGTTGTGTCATATGTTCGAGACTCACCTTGCTATATCAGAAACCTTCGCGGACATACGCAATTGATGCTTATAGAACCGTCTATTTCGCCTCTCGCCCGAAGTCGGCGGAATATACCACGAGGTAAAATAACGGGTATTTTTATGAAATAAATTGATATGGATTCCTCTAGAGCCGTAGTAGATTTCGCTTTGGCGCCATCTATTAGTTATTATAGTATTATATTTGTCCTAAGCTCTGTTTTTTGGATTATTTTTATGATCTTCATACAGGTACCAATCCGTTGCAGCATGCGTTATTATTATCATATTGCACTGCTCAAATTTGGATCTCAAAGTTTTATTTAAACATTCAAAATTTCGCCTTAAAATTTATCATATATAATTACCATAAGTAGTCGAAGTATTGTCGAATATTTTTGAGGTGCTGTCACGAATGCTATAGTTACGCGTAACTAGCATGAGTGGAGCAGTAGCTCAAAAATAATCTACAAATACTTCGACTACGAAACTATAAAACATTGTTTGATAACCGCCCCATCGATTTTTGAATGCAAAACATTTATAAAATTTATAAATGTTGTAGTTTCAAAAATCGATGGAAAGGTTATTAAAAAATTTTTTGAAATTATTTAAAAAAATAAAAAATAATTATAAATACAAATGTTTTACAGAGCTGACAGGTAATTAGAAAATGTGTTCAATGCCTAGTCCTCAAAATAAATAATTTAATAAGGAATTTCAAAACACAAAAGAACGCCAATAACTTCGGCTTCGGCACCAATTTTTGGGTGTATCGACATAGTATTAACCACCCTGTACAGCAAACGACAATTGATTGATTGCTTCACATCCGCATTCGTTCTTTAACGCCGATGACTAATCTTTCATGCCGCTTCGACCTCCATCTGGGATTTCTGGAACATTCGCTACACTGCCCCCCTCTTAAAACTGTTCCGTCACGCAACATGGACGACGGTTGTAGCGGAGACACAGTCCCAGATAACTCTTGTCCTATAACTCGAGCTTGGTGGCAGTACTTGCACGGCGACCACCTGCTGCATCTTCCATTATTGGAGAAAAAGCAATTCACAGTCTTACGAATCGGTTGCAACAGACCAATATTTCCATCCCGGTGCCCTGGAATACCACCTTCAGCATACTGCGTACGATGCGCCAGTCCAGCTTATCGAGGCCATATCGATCTTTGGAATTGCTAATTTAATGAATTTGTACTTGTCGATTCAAGTGCTGTAGCACATTCCAAAAATCTTTATGACCAGGTTTATGGGAAGACCGTTCTTTTGTTACCAGATAATAAAGAAATCGTACTTGTTCCGGTAGGAATCACACCTTACCCACCTCGCTACGTTGAAAGTAAATTTATCCGGGACATTTCGACTTGCTTGGCCGCGCAGCGAACCAGCGAGGTAAGTGTATTCTGTTGGTGCTTTAAACAAATCTTAAATTCTTCACGGACAACACCAAAACGTGCCCTTTACGTTCCAGAGTAATGTGTCATAAATTCCGCGAAAGTGGATTGTCGTGGTCTCATTGGCAAAACATTTGCCACTTGCTATTCCTCGGGCTCGTTCTGTCCCGCGTATGGAGCCAACTGTTTATGTGCACTCAGCACTACTACTGGTTTTCCTCGTGGTAGGTTCCGCATCCGATATACTTAAGCGTCTCCTCTGGGCTCCTCAGCTAAACCAGGTCGATAATCACCAGGTTGGGCCTTCACATCGTACTGCACTTTTATTCTGTCGCTAGCTAACTGCATATTATCGCGAACTCTGTCATGGATAGCGCCCAATTTCTGTCGCAGGTTTTCCACGTACTCGTTCCCCACATCAGTGTCTCTCCGAGCGGGTCTTGTACCAAATTTTAAATCACACCGCAACCGAAGTTCCTTGCTAAACAACACCGAAGCTGGACTCTCCTGTAGTTTCCCTCACCGCAAAACAGTTCACCATCAGGAACAAATGCAGATAGGTATTCATTCCAATCACGCTCGTGGTCGAACACAAATTTTGATAAGTACTTCCTCATTGTTCTATTCGTGCGTTCTACTATTCCGTCCGACTGTTAAAGCAGCGGTTCTGGTCTTGCGAATTCCTAGTTGACACAAGCTTTGGATTTTGGAATAGTGCCGACTCAAAATTTCGGCCCTGGTCAGAGTGTAGTTCCAGAGATAGCTACTCCACATCTACTAAAAAGTTCTTTTACCAGAACGTCTGCCACAGTTGTTGCTTCTTGATTTGGTAGACCATATTCCTCCATCCATTTGTGGAAATTGTCCATAGCCACCAAGATGTATTTATTTCCACCAAGCTGCCTCTGGGATGGGGCCTCAATCTTCTAGATAAAGCATCGGCCTTAAGGATGGTTTCGTCTCGCGCTGTGTTCTGTTACAAAGTCGTACTCTTGCAGTTTTCTCAATCACCTAGCCACTAGGCCGTCTGTACTCTTAAATTGTAACAACCATCGCAATGCGGCATGATCGGTACGTACGAGTAACTTCTGGCCATATATACTTAGATACTTAAGGAAATGTTTAATCGACTTGATGACAACTAGAAACGACAGTATAAATGCGTTCTGGTTTATAGATTTTAGTGAAATATCCGATGACTTTTTCGTGCCCAGCCTACATTTGAGACAGTACAGTCTCCTTCTCTTCTAGGTTAGCTGAGCACTGGAGCCGTAATTAAAGCTTGTTTGAGATCTTCAAAAGCCCGCTTACATCCGTCTTGCCACTGTGTTCCCATGTTAACTTGGTCAACGGTTTTGCAATATTGGCAAATCCTACGTGCACAGGCCCACAAAACTTAGTATTTTATGTTTATCTCTTGAGTGGCCATTCCAATTTACCAGGGTCTAGGGTAGAAACCCATTTAGCACCGGCGTATCTAACGCGTCATCTATTTAGGGCAATTTGTTACGTTGTTCAGTTGCGAAACCTCGTGCTACCATCTTTCTTCTTTACTAGTAGCACAGGTGAAGTCCAAGGGCTGCTGGATGGTTGAATTATTCTTCGACATCGCTGATGATCTTCGTTTAACCTATGGTAGTCTTCTTGGATGGGTTGGGCATCTCCCGTATTTATTTTATGAAATACTTGCTTCGGCCAACAAATCCTTTCTCTGAAGCCAACACGTCTTGGTAGCAGCAAATTAATCTTTTAGCTTGGTCCACGGCTTTATCTCATTTGTATCAGCTTTCACTTATTGCATTAATTGTTGCATTTTTTCGAGGTAGATCGGGTTACTACTGGCATAAACTAACACTAATATTGCTCACTAAACACAACCCTACACCAGACTCCAATGTAATGTAAATTTAATTACCTACGTGCTTTATTGATGTTAATAAGTTTTGAAATGATTTGATTTACCAATAACAGAATATTATTTATCACTCCCTTATACACGATTTATCTCACCTCCAAGTATTTATCACTTCGGTGTTGAAGTTGGAACTGTACTGAAAAGTAATTCGATTTGCTTATATAGCAAACGACAATTATTCTAGAATGTTCTTAGTAGAATGTTTTAGAATAAACACGCCTTTTTTCTGGATAAGATTGCGTATCACATCCGCATTCGTTCTTCATCGCTGATAACTGATGTTTCATGGCGCCACGATGTTTATCGGGCTTTCTGGAATATTTCTAATATCCAAGTAATGACATTACTGTCCAATGTTGCCAACAGTTATCATGCTTTGCATGTTTGCCAAGAGATAAATTAACTGTTTGTGTTTTACGCAATTTCAGTAAAAGTAAAAAATTCGTTAAAAACACACAACTTTGCAAACATTATTTAATAATCTTTATGATACACAACTTATAGATAAACTTTGATTTATAGATACATTATATACTACCTTGACTAATTTAAAAAAAAATGTAATTAGGTATACATGGTTGAATAAAATTACAATTTTAAATGATATCACAGACTAATACAAACATATAATTTTGCCTCTGCAATCACTGAATTATTCAATGTTCCCCAAATCGCCACTTAGTCACTACGAAAAAAAAGCACAACTTCAAAAATGCCCGCATTTATACTTAACTCAAAAAGATAGATTCACGCAACAATATTAATACTATCTAATCAGTCGAATTATGAAACTGAATTATTGGTCTAAACTTAAAAAAATGTAAATTGATAATGTCCATTCATGATCTTGCCCAACCACAGAACAAAGAGATGCGGTTAGTCTGTGGGAAGATTAAAATTCCTCAGGTGTAACTGTTAAATTAATACGTGAGAAAGCTGTAACAGGAACAAATTCTTTTAGTGAGTAATATCGCGATCTATCATCTTGATCGACAGAGGTGACATGTTGAAAACAGCACGGCTGCGAGATGTGAGATTTCGGAGGTAACGGTGCTGGCTTTGGTGATTTCTTTTCCTTCCGTTTCTTCTTCCCTGGTACAGATAAGGATATATTTTCGGGGCAGGCGATAAGTTTCTCAATTTCCGTCCACATCTCGTGCGCCGCTTGCGCCGTATCAAAACTGAAGCCTATTTGCAGTGTGTGGTCGGAAGAATAGCACATTGTATGAAATGCCTTTCCAGCTACTTGATAGGATGACAAGTTATCAATTGTATCTCTCCAGAGCATGAAACCGGTTCCTCTTTCGGCGAGTACAATTTGAATTCGCCTTTTGTTCCTCGAGCGTGCTTCTCCTACGTCTAATAAAATTAACGGTATTCCCGCGTATTTCAATTGCCATTCGACGTCCAGAGGAGATTTCGTGTATAAATTAGCCAAAGAACCACTTACGTACACCTGAAACGATAATAAAATATTAAAATATGACTCCTTCAACGAAAGTAACACTTAGAAATCACCGCCTGAGGGAAATAGACTAAGTAGGACGGGGCTCACCTCTTCGTCAAAGGTGTTAATTAAAAGCGAAATGAGTAAACGAATTTCGAGAATTAAAGTTGTTTCACCATTTAAAAGAGCTACTAGCGAGGAAGTTAAAAAAATCTCACTTTATAGGAGAAATTAAAACGTCTCGTCATAACCATTTCCGTCGTGATTGCCTTATTGGTAAAAAAGCGAACCTGTTTGTGACTCAGATTAATAAATTACGTTAACTAATTGCATCAATTATTTCTTTTGCCGGAAGAGAAATTACGTCAATATCGTCAATCACAAGAAATTTAGGTTTCTAATCCTGTCAAGTTTCTAAATTATGGTTGCCACAACGCAAAGGTTCTCTTCCAGAATATATTATTAATGGGGTGAGCCAATTTATTTTCAGCAAATAAGCCGCTCAATTTCGAAAATGAGAACAATCTTGTAATGGACGATCCTCAAGATTGAAGTAGGTACTTTGAATTAAATACACTTTACAAAATGAAAATAATATCAAGGCTACTTTAAAGAAGAACTAGATCTCGGTAAAAAATTTTAATGAATGATAAATAATTCGATTGCGTAAATGAATTAATCGACGCCCATGAACTTGACCAGAAAACAAACCGCCGCCGCCACCGCACTTACCCATATACGGTTATGCGGCTAAATTACTAATATGAATGTAATATAGCAAGAATCTTAAAGTTGACGACCGACCAACCCGTTGTTACGGAAAATGGTCCCTTGAGCTATACTAAAATCGTAAACGCGTTTAGCAATTTCCCATACCTATTACGTTCAAGTAATCACGTTACAAACGTCTCTATACACATCAAACGAAACTCGAAAGTTCATATTACCCCACTTTAAGGGTGTAATGAAATAACAAATATTGGTTTGAACATTAAATGACTTGTCCACCTACTCCACCTTTGCGCTGTTTTCTTAATGGGAGCCAGACATAAATTTATGTTACAATTTGCCTTTCTAGCATAAATTCTGCACGAAAGTTACAATGAGAACAAAAATCATAGCTAGTAGCTATAAACTGTTTAATTAGTAATAAACCATTTGAATTGAGCGACTTCCACACTCACACCTACCCTATTCGTCTATGATTTCTCTTAATTAAAATATCGAGGTGTGTAAAGAATGTATTCGTAATATACTCGACAATTTGAATGCTTCCAACGCAGTGCAAAAGGTGGTAGAAGCCTTTGGGTTTATCAAACGGTGCTGCAACTTTTCAAAATTTACCACTGGCTCAATTGCGAGCTCAATTGTATCGATGAAATTACAAGCTGATTTTGTAGCAAATTTGTTGTGTCCTTTGGAAGAAGAGGAAAAAGATCACATTCGCAAAGATATTAGAAAATTGTGCGAAAGAATGATAGAACAAGTTAACAAGATACGAAGAATCGCATACGATTTTCAGTAGGGGAACTTTTTGACATTCAGCTCACATGCGGAAACCAGACTTTTAATCCGGCTCATATTCAATAGCACTGACCCTTGAACTCGTAGAAATCGATTGGCGAACGTTTGACATCGCTATCTCTTTTCGTTCTCGAATTAGACGAGGAACAGACGGACGGACAAAACCATCACATAAGGGAAATTTTTTTCTTTCGAAAAATTCCCCTAAAAACGTGGTCTCTCGCGATCGACGAAAGCACATTTTCACCCCGCACAGAATCAGGAATAACTCGGGAAGGGCGTGACTTTTGTCATTCTGGTCTCGGGGCTGTGCTACACCGTATAAGAAAAACGAAACGAAAAAGCTTAAACTGGAGGACTAATAGTGATACAGACGTACTAGACAGACCGACAAAGTGCGGAAAATAGCGTTCAATTTCCTTTTGGAAAATGCGCTAAAAAAAGGAACAGAGACAGTCGAATAAAAGGAAGCCGGTGGTTGCAGAAGATGGTCAGATCATGAAGAAATTAGTGAAACTGTTCTCACATACACAACACACCGGGGAGTGACGCGGGGAGTCCTGCGGTGAATATACGTTCACCCAAGAACCAGCTGCGGTAGCAGGAGTATGTCACGCTGTATTAAAGCAAGTAATGAAGGGAATATTACCCACCGTCAAATACCCGCAAGAATGGAAAAGAGTGTCGCTACTATTTTGATTCCCAAGGAGGGGAGAGTTAGGCCTCTGCTTAGCAAAATTTGTGAGGGATGATAGTGGGAATGCTAATTTTTGGTTGATCTTGTCACGGTGCGTCATAGTAAGTAGTAACTACGTGGAGGATCAGGGAGGTAGTCGCTACAGCAACCTTACCAGAATCATTCAAGTATCCCTTCGGACAAAAACACACCAGAAGGGTAGATGGGGGACTCCCTCATGGATCAGTGGTGGGCCCACTGTTATGGAACATCGCCTATGAGGCTGTACTCTAGCCCTGCCCAGAGTTTTCCTAGAGGACTACGCGACTGACCTCTACATGAGGAAATTGGTTAGGGCTTGGGAGGTCGTGATGCGGAAATATATGGAGAGTTGTAGGTGAGAAGACGAAACCGGTGTTGAGGGGGGGGGGTCTAACACTCCACAACTCCACAGAGTATAGAGGTTATCCAAAAAGTAACAAAGACGACCAAGGCACTGGAAAGAGTATGTAAAACTGCGGTGACTCTCGACGGAAGCAAAGTCCGAGCGGGCGACACTAGGTATAGACGAGTAAGGCAGATCTTCCACAGTCTTCATCTCCTTGAGTGGCGGTAGCATACTGTACCGTGCCTTATCAACACCTACTTCTAATAGCTAACACTCCTCCTTTAAGGCCTCTTGTTGAAGAGAGAAGCAGAAAAGATGCACTGTACGCTTGGCAGAGGGGCGTGAAACAAAGTCTTCCTGGTCAAAAACTAACCCTCCCTCAGAGAGCGTGGAACCGAAGGATGCACGGTGAGACAGACTATCATCTCGCACACTCTGTCACCGATCACCGAAAAATTGGCAATTAGGGGTTGCAAAAGAAATATTAAACCAGCTTGGTGCATTTATATTGAATTTTACACAAATTAATTAATAAAAACGCCAAACCTTCTCCATACAGGAAATATGGGGAAGGTTTGGTGCCTTTATTAATTAATTTGTCTTCATTTGGTGCATTTATTTTTTTATGTTAACATAATTAAGTAATTCATTAATAATAATTAACATAATTCTTAAACAATTCCTGAAAATTCCAATGTTAAGTACCGTGTGTCCCATATTGTGGTTGAGATTACAGTGTATCTCAGTTGTTTTTAAAGATAGAGACTTGCGGGACCCTATATCACTTTTTTGTGAAACTTTTTATTACCATAGACAGAATCACGAGATACAGGCTGAAAACCAAAAGTTAGACTTTTTGGGGTGTTGTCATATCTTACTACCCATTTAAGATAGGAAAAAGCTAAAACTGCCTATATTTTAGATATGGTAGGAAGAATCCAGTGGCGTAGTAACAGAAATTTAGACCCCCGTTTCTGAAACTTAACCCAAAGTTGATATTTTTAAATACAATATCCTGTATACCTTAACATCCATTTTTTGCATTACTTCCTGATTACATTTATATTTTTTATATAATTATAATACGATATCATATTTTCCAATTTTTGAAATGGCATGGTAGCCATTTTATTGATTTGTATCGGCTGCTTAGTTACCATGGATACAATAAACAAAACAAAATTTCCATGAATCCATGGACTACTTAAAAACAGTAAAAAATACGGTTTTTATTTTTGGTTCATGGCTAAAATGAAAAAAATATGTGATACATCAATGTAGTCAGGTAACAGAATGCAAAATTAACGTTAAGGGTGTAATCCAGTAGTACAAAATTTATGCGAAAATAGTGCAATTTATATTTCGTCTCAATTCTGTAAAACATGAGATGAAAGACGGGGCTAATTTTTTTCGTGTAAATTATACATTTAAAAAGTATGCTACAGAACAAAATTCTAATATTTAAGACACAACAATTTTTTAGAGCACTGTCAATAAAAAGTGAACTTTTATTGGTAAAATAGCGTCAACACAAATTATTTTAAAATTCTCCCTGTAGCATACTCAGAAAAAACATTAGCAAACCATAGAGCCATCGAACAAACTTTCAAATAAATTACAAAAAATTTTAGACGAAATATTCATTCGAAATTTTTTACAAAAAACGTGTAGCGTTTAGTGAATTCATTCACCATTTATAAATGGGTACAGTAGGCAACACATCATACGGCAGGCCTGACTTCATTAGCGGCATTGTTGCGTTTATCGGGACTAATTTACAAAAAGAAACCGAATTCATTAGAACGTATTATAATTCCATAATATACTGGGTAATAGAATTCACACGAAAAATGTAATTTATTTTTGAGTGAATTAAAAGTTTGCGTCTTTTCTGACGTTTTTTGTAACACCCCTAAAATTTTAGTGCGATAAAAATTTGAGATTATTTCCCTGTAGCATCTTTCGGAAAGAAATATAATTTGCGTAAAAAGCGTTAGTTCTCATTTATTTTGTGTTGTTCCCGAATTAGACGAAATTTTGTAACTCCCCTAAAATTTCAGTGTGATACAGATTTGAGATTATTTCCCTGTAGCAACCTTCGGAAAGAGTTGTAATTTGCGTAAAAACCCTTAGTTCTCATTTATTTTATGTTGTTCCCGAATTAGACGAAAATTTGTAACACCCCTAAAATTTCAGTGTGATACAAATTTGAGATTATTTCCCTGTAGCATCCTTCGGAAAGAGATATAATTTGCGTAAAAAGGCGTTAGTTCTCATTTATTTTATGTTGTTCCCGAATTAGACGAAATTTTGTAACACCCCTAAAATTTCAGTGTGATACAAATTTGAGATTATTTCCCTGTAGCATCCTTCGGAAAGAGATATAATTTGCGTAAAAAGCGTTAGTTCTCATTTATTTTGTGTTGTTCCCGCTATTCGCTTACATGCGTTATTTTCCAGATAAGGTCAATACAATTCATGGAGTAATTACTGGGTTAAAAAAATATATACGTCTTATTAAAAACTGGGAAAATTGAAATTATTGAGGATTAGCCGTTGTGACAATGATTTGCGTATTCTAATCGATGTTTAATTATATATGCATATTCGTCACAATGACTAATGACCTGGGTAAATTAGCGTAATTACTTGTTTACTTTATACAATGGTTGGGCAGGTAAATTCTTCAATCTTTGTTTATTCGTTACCTTTTCATTACAAGTAAATATTATGCAACCCATCATACGTCAAATAGAATTAAAATTTAAGTGGAATACACCCTTAAGATATAGAGGGTGTTGCATTTAAAAAATACCAACATTGGGTTAAGTCTCAGAAACGGTGTTCCAAAATTTTTGTACTAAGCCACTGCCTACTAACTAAAATAGGTAGTTTTTACCTATCTGGCATAGGTAGTAAGATATAACATTCCAAAAAGTTAAACTTTCAATTTTCACTCTGTATCTCAGAAACAAAGGTATCTAGATTACTGTTTGTGATATTAAAAGTTTCACAAAAAACTGGCACAAGGTCGCGAAAACCGCAAGACTCTATCTTTAAAAACAGTTCAGATACACTGCAGTCTCAACCAAAATGGGACATACGGTACTCTGTGTTTGAAAAGAACGTTAGGCAACGTGACCCGTTACCAGTTTGTTCTATGAAAACATCCGCCGTAAGACATTAGCATGGGAAGCTTATTGAGACAATTTCTCTGTGCTATTTCTGAAATGCAACCGAGTAGGTCCGATTTTAATTAGATTTTGGTAGTTGGAACTGTTTTAAGGGTGGTTTACTCTAATTAAGGGTTTAGAGTTGAGATTCTTTAGGGTGGCGCGATTTTGTTATGGGGTGATTTCATTATACGTTTCTTCAAAATTCGGACGCTCAATTGTTATATGGGTCAATGGTTTCAGGATACGGCACCGGCCGATTCATTATGTGAGAAAAGTGGGTAGTGCCAGTCTGACGGGAGACAAGGCAGGATTAGTGGGATATAATTGATCAAAACGGTTGATTCAAATCCGCTATTATTCAGGGCATGAAAACTGATTACTCAGTGTTTTAAACAACGGATCTGGCTACTGCTACGTAGGATTGGCAAAGGGGAATTATCACATAGAAGTAAATTTGATCCGTAGTTTATAAAAAATAGGGACCTGGACTGTCTTTATAAAGTATGACGTAACCTGGTCGCCGAATTCATACATTTTCCTAGCAGTCAACGAACTTACCCCTATTAAAGGAGTGGCCATTTCACCTTTAAATTGTATTCCGTAATCTTAAATTTCAATGTTATTAATTAATGTATATACAGGGTGTCTCATGTATTTTGAGAGGCGATTATTGGGGAAACTAGCGGGGATATCAAAAAAAGATTTTTATAAAACCTTCTTCATATGAAGGGACTCATTTAATGATGCTCTACATATTTTCGCATAACTGTCCCTTAAGGGTCAAGTGTCGGGCAACTAATTTTTTCAAATAGAAACCTATACTTTTTATTGAAAATTCTTATTCTACAGCGGAAAGAATAAACTTTTCGTGGGAAAGCGAAGTTTTTTACGGAATTGAATTTCCTAGAGTGAGCCAAGGTACAATGGTAACGATGTTGGCACTGAGGTACATTGAATTCAGAACCAGATTAATTCGTTCATTTTCCATCTGCTTATTACAACAAAAAATCATCAAATGTTCTAGAATTTCAGAAAGAAATGTTTTCAGAGCAAAAAGGGTTGTGCAAATCGTGAAAAAGAGAGGCGGGTCAGAGCCGGAGTTCCTATAGATCAACGACTAAGTATATGACCGAAATTTGTTTGTCAGTTTCGCTTTTCGAAGAACGATTAAAAAACCGTCAGTATACAAAATCTGAATTACAGTAAAATTTACCTCCGTTTTTAAGCCCTTAAAAAACGTTTCCACTTGCTGCCTCTCAATGTCGGTAATTTTCCCTTCGAGCGGTACTCTCTCGTCTCTATCATCTCGATCCATTTCATCACTTTCAGCCCTTCCTTCGCTACCGTCCTCCCTTTCGCCGCAACTGCTACCGGAAGCTGTCGTACTCGAATCACCGCTTCCTTCTCCGGTCGAGGACAATCTTCTACGATTACGATCGTTCCTATAAAGCAGTCCGTGATAGGAGTCGTACTTTTGCGACAAGCGATTTATGGCGTATTCTGGATTTTCGTGTTTCGTTATCGTTATGGAGGATGCGCGATTTTCTATCGGCGTCAGTTGCGAAGATGAATAAACCGGTACCTCCGTTGTGCTCGGCATCTCTGTAACAGATACGTATTGTTATTACAATAATTCATTTTCTATTCACACGATTTATTTTGCAATGAGGATTCAGTATGAGAAACGCTATTGTTTGCATTCACATTATCTATTTTAATCCGCATTATTACAATGTCGGCGCATACCGTCACCGTTACATTAAATGCGGGTATTTAGAGATATGGGCAAAAATGAAACGCGTTTCATGTGTGTTGTATTAATTTGAAAAAGAAGTTTCACTTCGTTCAATTAGTACTTCTTTATTATTTACCTTTCACAGTGGCTTACAATACAAGACGTTTTCCAATTAATCGGCGATTGGGAGAACTTTATAATAGGAGTAAAAGTGGATGAGACAGCAGTTTTTTTACAGTGAAAATTTGTCAACATCTATTAGACAATAAGAATAATAGCAAAGACATCTTTCTAGTGTGTGGGGCACATATCATCCAAACGTTACTCAAATGTCAGTGGCATTAGAGAGCAGACCCGTAACCGTAAGAGAGTCTTTCAGGAATCATTAGATTGTTACTCGGATTGTTATTATTTCTAAACTAATGCGATGCTACACCCGTTATCTCCTTATACAGTGATATTCATTTAAAAGTAGACATAGGAAATGTCTAGTTTTAAATTACCAAATCTCCTCTGAAGAATGAAACTGAATGTTTTAACTTTTGTGGAAGAGAATCCTATAAGAAACTTAAGGGAAATGACCGAATTTAATATAATAATATGTCTTCATCATAACCTAACTAAAAGGATACTATTAACTGTCGTTTTTATTTAAAATCTAGAATTACAGCAAAATGCGTGCGCATGTTATTTCGGTTGCATAAAATTAGGCGTCTTTTAGAAGGAAATCCCTATGTCTACTTTTAAATGAATATCACTATATTATATTTAAAAGTGAGCAATGCTTCCATTCTATAGCAATGAAATGCATTTTAGGAGTTGTAAAAAAAAGGCTTCTGGTTAAAATCGTCAAGTAGGAAAGAGGACGTTTTTTGTTTTAACATTAGACAGGTACAGTTTTTGTGAAAAATAGCGTATTTTGTAAAAAAATCGCTATTATATTATATTAGTTATGGCTAGCTGTCTGGCTGTCCGCCTGAGATCTCAGCAAATACAATAGCTAGAGACTTAAAATTTTCACTAAAAGCTTTCTGCTATAGTGTGCTAGATGTGCAGGTTCTAGTCTATTTCGATTTAGATTACTGGTGAGATCGATAATTTTAAACTTTACTAATAAAATACTGATCTGTATTATCAAAAATGCGGTTTCATCATGCATATGCTGATTTACAACTTGTTTCTTCTTCTTAACGTATATTTCAGTCATATAACATCATTATAGTCAACATAATAAAACTAAAACTTAGAGAATTTGAACAAGTCTAGTAGTAACCTAGGTAACATGTAAGTCAAAATTCATAGTCGCACAAATAATCTCTCTATATAGTAGTGATCTGCATGTACCGGGTGGCTAAGAATGGTACAAAACTGTATCTATTTCTTGTATATGTTAGGCGCAAAGACCGAAAACGGCCATTGAGCGAAAAAAACGGCCACAACGCGTTTTGGGTAATTTCAATTGACCACGAAGCGTTCTTGACGTTTTTTTCGGTTTGTGGGCGTTTAAAAACAGCCACTTCGCGTTCTGAATAATCTAACTGTACCATTACGCGAATTCGTGTTGCGGCTCTTAACTGTTTTCAACCACAACGCGTTCTAAAAATACCAAATATGTAGAACCCATTGTGTTTTTCCAATAGCTACGACGTGATTATTAAACATTCAGGGTAGTTTTTGTGAAACGGGAGGAAACTTTTAGCTTAGGAACCACAACTTACAGAGAGCTACTTACAGAGAGGTACATACGATTTTTTGATACTATCTCTTCCTTGCGTAAGTGTTCTTTATTTATTTTTGCAAGAGCTGTTGGAGTGGCATTTTGAGTTACATTTCACGTCTTTGGATTTGCACTTGCACTTTTTGTCGCTGCAGTATCGCTTGCAATTGCAGCTGACAAACCCCTGTGTGCTTCCCGACGATTTCCCTGAAGCGGTCCTGATGGTTACCGTATTCGTTGGTACGTCGTTCTCATCCATGAACGTGTTAACAGGCGTGAACTCGTTTCGAGAACAAAGCCGTTGAAGTTCGCCCTTCTTCGTGCCTAGTTTATAAAGCCCAGAGGAGTTGACGCTCGTTACAACTGCTATGATGTTCCTTGGAGCTGTGCGGCCGCGATCGACGTCTGGAACTCTAATGGCAACGATTTTTTAGAACGCGTTGTGGTTGAAAACAGTTAACAGCCACAACGCGAATTCTCGTAATGGTACAGTTAGATTGTTCAGAACGCGTAGTGGCTATTTTGAAACGCCCACAAAGCGAAAAAAACCTAATGAACGCTACGTGGTCAATTGACATTACCCAAAACACGTTGTGGCCGTTTTTTTCGCTCAATGGCCGTTTTCGGTCTTTGCGCCTAACATATATAAATGCGGCCAAGAGAAAATGCTAGGAATTGTTTTTGGTTTCATACATTACCACTACGGGGCAGAGTAAGCACTCCAAAACAGAAAAAAATGGGATGTTAGGAGAAATATATCGAACAAGGCAGGTAGGTATAATAAACATCGGAAAATTTGAAAACAAAATGCACCTATGTAAGGGATTATTCATAGCCATCAAACAAATGCTATTATACATGGGCATTGATTATACACACTAACTGTATAATTAATGTACAATGGGTTTGTTTAAAAGTCAACGCTAGATATTTCAAGAACGCCTGGCTGCATTATCAAATTATTCATAGCCGTTAGAACTGCGCGTAAGATTTTTGTCTCGTTTCTCTAGATTTAAAGGCAGCGGGATATTTACTTTTACCGTTGAGTGACTAATCCTTCACTCAACGCTTTTACCATTGAATAAAGTGCTGAATCAATGCTTTTTACGTAGAATGAAAAGTCGGAGGATATAACATACCTACGTTTGTTGTAAAAGATACATTGTGGAAATGATTGTCCGATAACTAAGGAATAATATTTTATTTGCCTGGCCGGCTACGCAAAATCAAGTAGGGTTACGCTTTCAATAAAAAAAATGTATTCCATGTAGTATGACATTCTTTTTGTAGGTACTACTTTATTAACTAATTGTGTAGTACCAAAGTCGTCGCGGGCGGCGTATGAGTCGAGGAATATAGCAGCTGTCATGGCCTTGACTTGTAAACACAAGGAGGTTATCGCCGTTTTGAGCAAAAGAACTATTGCGTGCGTGCCATTCGTTGCCGAAATCCAACCGGTATCAGAAGATGAAGTGTTTGGTAAGCGTGAAAAATGCGCGTTGAAGCCACGATAGGCCTTTGTATCGAACCTGTTAAAATAGGCTTAAATCGTCATCATTTTCACGGGTGTTTTATAATTCATGAAGAATTTCAGATGAAACGCGACACATGTAACGAGTGGTGGATTTACGCGCCAAATTTCATTAAAAAATTCGAAATTCCTTGTCATGATAGTGCAGGTCACCCTGTATATTTCATTATTTGTTTCGGTTAGAGATTTTGTGTTTGGGCATTTCGGTTCGCTCAAGACTATGGTCCGATAGATTTAATTTCGCTCAGATTTAATTTCGTCGTGGGAAGAGTGCAAAGCTGATTGACGTCATCATGAGTAATGCGAGTTTTTTGTCGTTTGTTTATCAACTTTGGCGCCGACTGGACCGAGAATAGGAGCGGATGTAGCACCGGCCGTCAGGAGATAAGGCCTTTCCACGTCGTCAGCAGAAAACCGTGAGATCAGTTTGAGTCAGCAGTTCTTTGAGGTTAACGACGGAGTTAGAGTGGGTTAAGTTTTCTTTATCTGAACCAATGGGAGAATTTCTAGCGGGAGCCATTTTTGTTTTATGGTAATTTGGGTGTGGTTTTTTTCATTTCAATTCTGAAGAAGGGGATCGTTTTTGGAAAGACTCGCGGTTAGTACGTCGAGGGGTCGACACGTATTTTGAGTGATCGCGTTTTAGAAGGGACTCGCGGTTGGTACGTCGAGGGGTCGACACGTACTTTGAGTGATCGCGTTTTAGAAGAGAC